AAATGTTCTTTACCTGAGGTCCCAGACGTTCAGTCGACGGTCTGTTCCACTGGATGCCAATATGGTCTCATTATGGGGTGACCACTGAACCTAGAACAGCCAGTGAGAGCTCAAATTAGGTCAATCTGAATAAAAACACAGACTTACAATACTGAAACTGTCGTGAAAGAATTTGTCAGGAACATTTATCTTGTGTTTTTGCTTGGTATGTGCTGATGCTTCGGATTTATGATCATTTTGATTTATATAAATTCTTCAAAGCACCAGAAAAATACTTTGAGAACTGAAGAGATTCAAATTCAGATTCAAGATACCATGATATCCTTATTTTAAGAAAATGTCATGAGTGATAAGTATCTTACCTGGAAGATCTCGTCCTTGTGTGACTCGAAGGAATGCAGCTTCAGTTTCAAGTTTCTCAAGTCCCAAAGAGCCACAGTCTGTGAGAGGAAGAGATTTTCTTAATCTCTGCAATAACTTCAGTTACAAAACTGCAAAAATTACTGCTGAAAATTACACTAAATAACGACAATTAAGAATCGGTGGAATATTGCAGTTACCTTGTCTGCAGATCCAGAGGCAAGTATAAACTCGCTATAAGGGTTAAATGACAAACAGTTGACCTCTGCTGTGTGGGCGTCTACTGCATGGCTGGGTTTGGAGGTGTTGTTTGAACGAGTGTCCCAACTGAGGTAGAAAATTACATATCATTTAATTTACTGTGCACGATCTGCCTGGCAGATTTGACTTATTATGAAGTTTCTTACATCATAAGCTTCTGGTCATCTGCTACAGATCCAAAGAGTGACTCGTGTAGCAAGTGCCAGGAAACATCTTCAACCACAGCAGTGTGACCTGTGAAGATAGTCTTTGCATCGACGATCTTCCCCTCCTTTGGCACAGCACTTATGTCCCACAGACAGACGGTCTACAGGTTATGAAACATGAGACAAAATCCATCAATATTTCAGATCTCATGTTTGAACGCTTCTTAATTTCATGAAATGCATCTTGAGTTTATTGTATGGCGTAAGTGCATTAAATGCAGTAAATTGGTAACCAAAAAAACTCCCCAAATAAGGGAAGTCGCTTGGTAAATACATGGCAATGAAACCCGACTTTTCTCTTACATGGTCATCTGAAGCACTGAGTAGTGAGCCAGACAAATTGGGATTCCAGGAGAGACCATAGCCTTCTTTCTGATGGCCTCTGAGACGCAGATCAGGGCGGCACTCTCCAGAAGCATCTGTGGACAATAAAATTAATGCACATTGTCTCTTTAGTTCACAGCAAAAACAAGAGCAGATATGCAGTAATCTAAGTCACTTTCAAATCTTGTTCAAACTACATACTACCTTTCTTAGTGTCTTGTAGTGTGCGTGATCTATGTACCTGGCTTGGAGGGGTGTTTGGTGTAGTCAAACACCAGCACATCTGAGGTGGGGGTCTTGGTGGCGATGATGCAAGGGTTCTGGGGCATATAGCGGGCACGATTCACCTCTCCTTCATGGCTGATCTTGATTTCTATCTCGATCTTTCCGCTTACGGAGCCAAAACCTCCAAACTCTGTGGAAATATAAGAAAATATCTTTATAGTAAAGACACAATATGGATTCAATACATACATGCAATTGATTTAGGGAATGTAACTCTGATCTGTCCAAAGAAGCCCAATAATAAAAATGACCTCTTAAGTGACTACTCCTCTGTTAATAAATACAAAGGCAACTATGTTACACGCAACAATTACATTGTAATGCTTGCTGAGGTGCCTATTGATTTACATTGCTTTTTTCTAGTCAAGAATATAATTATCATTTAATTATTACCATTATTACTGGATCACTTAATCAGGTTATGACTACATTGACAAAGTGCATGCTATTCTAATAAATTAACTTAATATTAAAACACAGTACATGAAAAGTCTGCCTGCTTGAATATTCACACTTATGTGACTTATTGTGGGTGTGCAAGTCTCCAACCTCCTTTCTCGCTGTCATAATGTGAGGCGTCAAACTGGGCATCATCATTGGGCAGCTGGACGCTGGCAATGACCAGGTGATTCTGCTCATCAGATGTGTGAGTGCCCAACACCAGCCGGTGCACACTGTAATCCTTCCCTTCTGGCCTGGGGATTAAAAAACCCAAAACACATTAACCCCGGCCCATTCACACCTATTCTATGTGTGAAAATTACAATTTCCCTTATGTGTAAAAGTGTGTACCTGGAGACGTCAGGCAGCCACTGAGCAGTAAGACTGGGCCACTCTAAGGCATGGGTCATAACCAGGTCGTACAGGAAGGGAGTGTTTTTCTTCCAGATCTTGTACTCCTCATTGATCACCCTCTCTTCAACTGCATCATCAAATGCACCTGCTGAGAGCACAAAATGATGACAGGACTAGTGATCAGAATCAGTTTTATTGCCAGGTATGTGTACACATACGAGGAATTTGACTCAGGATTGTACATTGCTCACGATGTGCTTACTTATACAATAATAAAATAATAATATAATATCAGACACAAACTACAGAGTAGACAACACTAATATACACACTATGAACAAAACAATATAGACATATTGAAAAATGACTGTTCCACAACAATTTCCGTTTTTATTTACTTCAAACGTTTGCAGATGCGTCTGTAGCTTCGTGTCAGTTTAATATTCATTAGGGTGAATTGCCAGTGTGTCTCTGCGACAGTCAAGACATTAATGACAGATAACGCTTATGGCACTTAATCAACGGCCGTTTACGGTTCTCGTTTTAGACGGAAGTTTTTCATGATCAGTGTTCAGTTAGGAGTATGGAAGTGTTTTCAGAAGCATATCTCCGTTAGCTTCCTCGGCTATCGCGATCAAGTTAACGTTATGCTTATGCTAGCGTTAGCATACTTAACATACACGGTCGCGCTGCGGCCTTACTCCCAACTAGGACATAACTTATAACGTTAGCAGAACACGTCAACCGGGGGCAAACAATGCGAAAACAACAACTGCAAACTGAAATCGAGATTGTTACAGCTCACACAATGAAGAAGTACCCGGCTTTTGCTAAGCCTGATAAAGGCCATCCTAGGAGCTAACGGTAACGTTGCGACAGCTAGCTGTTACCTTAGCTAGCTAAAACATTTCAGATTACCGCGTTATTTTTCGCTGAAGAAAATAAAAGCTTTCACTTTACCTTCCTTGTCCGCCATCGCAGGTATCTTATAGACCAACGAGATTTAAGGTTGATTGATATGTGGAGACAAATAGCCTTGTCTCAGGTCCTCCTCTGGCGTGCTTTGTTTAAAGCACAGAGTGAACAACGCTAAGCTAGCAGCTAATAGAGCATCCGACTGTGAGAGACGTGGGTGCATTCGCGCGCTCGCTCAGTGCAAGCAAGAGGGGCGGTCCTTCCACCAATCAGACCGTAGCAACTGTGCGCGTGTGTACCATAGTGAACCAGCAGGGGGCAGCAGGAGGTCGTGTGATGCTGCCTTCAAGCACCAGGTATGGTGGGGATGTTTTTATATACAGTCTATGGTGAAGAAGACTAACTACATAAATACCAACAGATTAAAACATATATTATCATAAAATGTTTATTCTGTGGTGACTGCTCAGAGGCAATGCAATACTTGTTACTTCAACCAAATCCAGCATGTACCTATTACATACGTTAGTGTTGGGAGCATAGGTGTTATTTACACTGGGGACTTTTTTTACACTTGAAATGGCTGATTTTGTCCCCAAAAAACGTTCTGAAATATAGCTTGCAGTTATATGATAAATGAAAATGCCTTTAGAAAAGTTTATTTGCAAATTAAGAATACATTCAAGGCAATTAAAATATAGAAGAAACCAATGTGCATATTCCAATAAGTCGAACTTAAGCTAAAATAAACAAGCTACTGATCATAAAATGAATTGACACTGTTTCTTTTTGGCCAAGTTTTCCATTCTCTCCCTGTGAACATGACAAAAGAGGAGGGAAGACTAAATCATGCCTACATATGTGTTGCCTCAGCATGGATGATATTATATGAGAAAAGTTGATCTACAGGAGAAACAGTTCTGAAAGCAACACAAAATGCCTGAGAGCTGCACTGCTTGATATTGTTATATTTATATATTTTGAAAAGTAATGTGCCAGCTGAATTTTGTGTTTCCTTTTACATAAATAAAACATTTCCACCATAAATTGGTGCAGAAACGATCACCAGAATGGGGGAAATTAAGTCTTTAATGATCAAAATTTCCTGGGGGAGGTCCCCCCAGACCCCTGTGCCTATATCTCAGCATTGTGGATGTCTTTAAAACACTGTTTAAGGATCTTTTTGTCTCGTTCTCATGAACCTAATATCGCGTATTGTGATGTATCGCAAGCTAAGTGTCTCTTCACACCCCTAATCTGAGCCCCAATGTCCCCACCACTTTTCAACACAAAGTGACGCCCTTGGTTGGGAGACATGGCCAAAATAGCTATATATTATGCTAAAAATATGTTTCCATTTGATACCGATAACTGTCTATATTATACTATTTATAAATGTCATATTATATTTTTTTCAAGTTTAAAGGCTGATTTTTGCCCCTGAGTGAAAGTTGAAGAAAGCATGATGTTTAATTGTGGTTTTCAACTATTCTTTATGGTCAGAACATGCCAAACACTTGATGCCAAACAAGTGGATCACTTCACAAAACTGAGGTAGAACATTCAAAAGAATTATGATAAAATCTTTTTTCAATCCGTTTCTCAACAAAATAAATATCTTAATAGATAATAGTGATTCAAATGAATTAAATCAAACATTTACTGAACATTTATTCTATTGTTATTGAGGAAAATTATATCACGATAATTATCATTTTTGTATTGCCCATCACTTTTATATAGCGTGTATGCCTTTCACCCATTTATCTTGTGACTCACCCCTGGCTCTGTTAATATATATGATGACTTTGTCAAATAAAAGTGTGAAAAAAGTGGCCTTCTGTCATATTCCTTTACAGTCTGTGGTTATATTAGCATTTTATCCTTACTGTGTTGTTCAAACAAAGATTGGCAATGGTTACATTTTTAGAACTGTGAGTCTAAATCAGATCAGTCAGACCAGCATGTTTACCATAAGGGAATTTAAGAAGCGTTTCAGAAAGCTTATTTTAATACTTATGATGTATTATCATTACAATTTTCACGTGGAACTGTCCATTTCCTCATCTGCGCATGCAAAAAAGACAACATTCCTTTTCTTGTTGGCTATTGTTCAACTTCCCGCTGGAGTATGACGCTATCTGATTGGACACTTACGGTACACTGATCTCTCATTGGCTGAAGAACTGAAGTCAAGCCAGCCCTCGCGCTGTTTTGCGATGCGTATTTTTTCTCGGCATTACGGTAATATAGTGTCACAGCACATTTCAAAATAAAAATGCGCTTCTGCTGAACATAATGCAATTGATGTGGCAGAAACGATTGAATAAATAAATAAATGCTTAAGACACCACAAGTATCTAAAGAAATTATTACATTCTCACAGAAAGCTTACTACATTCAGCCAAGATTCGAACTCATGTAAAAAGAAAACTTCCTGTTTCCACTAACTCTCTCACATTTGATTCACATACAGCAGTGGTATTGGCTTCTGATCCTCAAACTTGAGACCTCTATTAAAATGAATGAATTATCAGGATGATTTCATTTGTGGCTGTCGACCTCCACACTTTGTCCAGTTAGAACAATTAATGATGTTGGTAATCTGTCCAATCCAATGGCACTGTCACAGTCTTTGTTCTTGTGACTTGTTTATTGTAGAAATGGAAATCTAGTATGAGCAGAGGTGTGTGTGGGTGTGTGTGTGTGTGTGTGTGTGTGTAACAGTAAACAGAGACTGGGACTATGTTGTTTTCTTCATTTGTTGAAAAAGGTCTTATGTTGTGAGAGTACCCTGACAATCATCTTTGAAATTAATTTTAACCTTGTCCTTTGTAGATCCAATGTGAAATGTGTGAAAGATGGTTCCATGAGCAGTGCCTTGCTATGGACACCAGAGACCTGAAGAAAGTGAGAAAATCAAAGTGGAATTGCTCTGTGTGCCTGTAAGACATCGCATCCCACCAATAAAGCTTGTATGGACAAGGAAGTAATGGGAATAAAGAAATAATCCAAGATACACACATATGCACATTCTGAACAATTACATATTTTTTTGTAATATATACACATAGCCTACTTTTATTTTATAAAGATGTGTATATATATCTGGAAAATAATGTGCAGTGTCTGTGTGTTTATATGTGTATACATTTAGAAAATGGACATGAGACTACTTTGATATTGGCTGACTGTTATTCTCTGGTGGTCAGGGTCTCCCTGAGGTGGTCTGCTGTCACTGTGAAGTGAAATGAGTCAGTGGAAACAGGACGTTTTCTTTTAACATCCATCTGAAACCAGCAAATTAAGTGTAAATAGACATTTTCAATGGCTGTAATTTCAAATAACTACATCAGATTGTTCTGATATTGACAGAGGGTCTCCCTGAGGTGGTCTGCTGTCACTTTGAAGTGAAATGAGTTAGTGGAAACAGAAGGTTTTCTTTTTACATGAGTTTGAATCTTGGCTGAATGTAGTAAGCTTTCTGTGAGACTGTAATATTTTCTTTAGATACTTGTGGTGTCTTAAGCATTTATTTATTTATTCAATCGTTTTTGCCACATTATTTCACATTATGTTCAGCAGAAGCTCACTTTTATTTTGAAATGTGCTGCGACACGATGTTACCGTAATGCCGAGAAAAAACACGCATCGCAAAACAGCGCGAGGGCTGGCTTGACTTCAGTGCTGAAGATGACGCGGGCCCTTAAACTGCAAATGAAGCTCCACCCAACGCTGGTTTGCTAACCACGGGTGTACCCTGTCTACTAATGTCCCAAGTAAGTTAATAAGGTAATAATAACATAGCGGCTCCATGCTGTCACTATGTCTATGACTGACATGTCCCAGGTGCTCGACATTCTCCGGTCACTGTATCAACACGTGCAGACACTGGAGGAGTTTGCGGGCAGCATCGTGTTCAGAGAAGGACAGAGAGCAGCGCTCATTGAACAGCCCGACACAAACCGCTTCAAATCCTTCGTTCGGGGTATTTTTGTGTGCTTTGACAAGGAACTACGGCAAGTGCCAAGCTGCAACCAGGTAACCCAAATATATAAAAACGATCTGAAATTAGCTTGTCAGTTTAGTACTAATGTAGCTAATAGCTTGAGACAGTAGCCAACTCCTACCCCCCTAGAACTGGGGAACATAGGACACTGGGAACATAGGATTGATGAAAATTAATATTATTACCCGTGCTGAGGCAGGACAAGTTACTTTATTGGCAGCTCAACCATAATCTGCCATCAAAGCTGTCAGTTACTGTACATCACTCATACAGTTTATAGTGGTTTTCCAAGGAAATCCACTCTGTTGTAAAAGAAAAAGCGGTCAGCGTTATAAGACACAGATTTTAATGTTTTCTCTGCAAAAATGAAAGGAACATGTCAGGATTTAGTAATATAACTCAAATGAGGGATGCTTAGTTCTTACAGTATTTTGATGTGATGTATTTTATGCTTTCCACAGATCTGCACTCTGCCTGAACTGCTGGCCTTTGTTCTTAACAGTCTGAAAAGAAAAAAAAAAAGAAATGTCTTGGCACATGGCTACAATTTTCTTTCTCTGGCTCAAGAGGAGCGGGACGCAGACCATTTTAAATTCCAAGGAGATGTAACTCAAAGCGCTGCCTATATCCATGGCAGTGACCTGTGGAAGAAAGTCACAGTACGTCTCGGCACAGATATCACACGGTACCTGTTGGAGAGCTGCTCTCTGTTTGTGGCCGTCCCTCCTTCATGTGTTTTCCAGGTGTGCGGCGTGCCTGTCTATGACAGGGTCTCAATGGCTACTGCCTCCTCTGGGTTTTACCTCCAGCCTCGGCCCAGGTCACGCAGCGGCGTTAAATTCAGAAGGCATCGAGGTGCGGTGCAGGGAGTTGACATTCCTTTCAACAAGAAGAGCAACAGAAGGGATGTAAGAGTGAAGACGGGGAAAAGAAAGAGAGAAATTGATCAGATGGACGAGGAAGAGATTATGACTTGTTCAGGAAAGAGGAGGCGGGTAGGACAGCAAGAACCCACGCAAGAAATCAATCCTGTTTGCTATGAAACAGTGGAGGAAGGGCAGCACATGTATGTGGAACCAACATTATCTGTGAAGCCTTTGGAAAATGGCGTTCCTGGTTCCAGACAGCCTGTTGAAATACAAACAACCATACTTCCCTTGGAGGGAGGACCCAGTTGGAGATCGGGGATTTTCCCCCCTTTGCCCCCCTCACAG